TTTAATGCAGATTTGTGGATTTCCAACACCTTGTATTAATTTTCTGCATATTTCCAACACTTTGTATTAATTTTCTACATATCTCTAATACCTTTTGTTAATATTTCTAGAGATTTACATAAGTTTATTCAAATAAAGACTCATAAGTCAACACTCCTTGAGTTTTTCTTTGTACAAACTTGCTTTTGATCTTAGATCTTCAAATTTGTCTTTTAGAAGTGCCTGCTTGAGACTATATAAAGCCTTCTTCAACTTGTATACCATATCAGCCTTTCCCTCAACAACAAACCTTTGAGGTAGTTCAATGAAAATCTCCTCCTGCAAGAGACAATCCCAAAAAACTGATTTTACATTTAAATGATAGAGCCTTCAATTTAGCTTTGCTGCTAAGACCACCAACAGTTTGATAATGTCATGCCTTGCGACAGGTGCAAAGATATCACCATAATCCACTCTTAGTAATTGTGCATAACCCTTCACCATCAACCTTGCTTTGAATTTGAAAATGGAAGCATCAGAGTTGAATTTAATCCTGTATACCCATTTGACTCCAATAACATGACCATTTTCAGACCTTGGTACAAGCGGCCAAGTGTTGTTTTTATTAATCATGTTAATCTCCTCCTCCATAGAAAGCTGACACTCTTGTACTTCATAGCATGTTCATAGTTTGTTGGTTCAATAATGGTCAAATTGTACATTTCATAAGCTACTGCTAATAACTTGGTCTTTCTGATTGGTGTGTCTGCAGTAGGATCATCAAATTCTATAGAATCAAGTTGAACATTTTCAGCACCAACACGTTAGGAATTTGAAGCTGCAACAACTATATCTTTTATGAGCTACTTTGCTTCAACTTGTTTCTTATCCCAATCCCAGAATACTGATTCATCAACAAGCACATCCTTACTCACAAAAACTTTTCCTGTCACCACATTGTAGACTCTGTAACCCTTGGCTTGAGTTGCATACCCCAAAGAAATACTAATTTCAGTCTTGTCATCCAATTTATTTATTTTTAACTAAGGGAATATGACTGCAACATACTGAAACAAAGATTTTCAAGTGTCATGTGCATGGTTTTAATCCATTCCATGCCTCGATTGGAGTCATAAACAGACCTAGTGGGAAGTATGCTAATTAAATAGACAACAGTATAAACTGTTTCAGCCTAAAAATGTGGGAAGAGAACTCTCAATAAGCATGCATCTTATCATCTCCATTTCTGTTATGTTCTTTCTTTTTTGACACACCATTATGCTACGGTGAATAACTAATAGTAAACTGATGATAGATATCATTCTCTTCATAGAATTTTTTGAATTCTGCTGAGGCATATCTCCTCAATTGTTTGATCTTAAGTAGACAATCTTAACTTCGCTTTGCTTTTCGGCTAAAGTTTTAAATTTCTTAAACACAGATATCACTTAAGCTTTGTTTGATAGAAAATACATATGAGTCATACGAGTGTATCATCAGTAAACCACACAAAGATTCATTTTTACTCAAAGATTTAATATTTATAAAACCACTCACATCGGTATGCATGAGTTCAAGTTTTCTCATAACTCGTCTCACACCGAGGAAAAACTAGTCCTATACTTACCAAGCTGACAGACAATATACACACCTTCACAATCAGCTAACATAAGCATATTAGCAACCATTCCACTCTCTTGCATAAACTTCAAAGAGTCAGCATTGTAGTGGTCAAATCTTTATGCCACAAGCAGGTCAAATCATTATTGGCAATAAAAACATGTTGATTTACATAGTTCAGACTAAGTACATAACTATTTTCATTTTTTTTAATCTTTGCTACTAGCACATTTGTAAGATCATAAATAAAACAATAATACCTAAGGGTTCTCTCAACAACCTTACAGTGTCCTCTTGTGGCTTATACTTCTGCTAGCAAGGCTGATTTATTGTAAACAAGAAAGTTACGTCTTGTAAAGTCAAGTATAGGAACACACTGGCAATATGCAGGTACAAGGTAGAATAAGTGAAAATAGGACTATGAGAATTTCCTAATTGACAACAAGATGCCACTGGTATTAAGTGGCCTTGCAATTCTCATTTCCACTATGCCGGACTGATTTGTTAACATAATTAGATTGATCCAAGAATAAATCTTCAGCACTGAGTGTGACTTTCACTCAAGAAAGTGATGAAGGGGTCTGAGGTCAGATATAAGAAATTCAACCTTCAACTTAGCCAAGAACAAAAGAGAATATGAAAAAGTAACTAGATTATATACATATAAAAGGAGTATTTCCATGTCTTCTTGATATTATAGATGAACATGGAATCTGCTTTACTAGAGAGAGCACCTTTTGTAGATAAACCAGAAATAAAGCATGGAAACCAAGCATGGCGGCGCTTGTTTCAAACCATAGATAGCCTTTTTGAACTACTCTTGAGGTGAGATGTTGATAGCACCTCATCATGTCTTGCTCTAATCCTTGAACTTATGAGCTGGTCCTAGTAGGTTGGTATCGATTGGTAATTTTGTGGACTTTCCATAAATAAGTTAATTGTGAAGTTCATTGTTGTTTAGGTGATTGAACTAATGGTGGATAAGTGTCTTTTAATTTTTGTCTTAGAATTCTTTTGCATGTGGCTTCCAAGGCATGAATGGTTGTCATATTGTTCTTTGATTTCATTTTGTTCCATGTAAACATTTCCAAGCGTCAATTTATAAAATATTTCCTTGCTTAGCTTTCAGTTTCCATAGAACTTAATCATTAAAGAAACCAAAATTATCACTTGCATTGTTATGCACTGATTCGGCTTCTCATAAGCTCTTGGGGAGTTGAATGGGGAAATTTATTTGAGATGTGTTGAAAATGTTGTGCTATTTTGATCCTTGTAAACTTTTATTTTAACATCAGTTTTAAAATTTGTCTCATTGTAGGCTATAGATTGTTTTAATAGGTTTCATATTTGATTTCAGGTTCTTCATCCACATAGCGTTGGAGTACTTGTTCACTATATGGACTTGTTTCATGCTTTACAAGGAATATGATACGGTAGCATCAATGAGATTGCATTTCCTGGCTTCACAGCATAGATGTGCAGAGCAGTTTACAGTGAGTTAAATGAACATCCTGCTATATAATTATCCCAGTGAAATTTTTTGGAGAATGTGTTTAAACATGTAACGAAACTGGATGTAGTTGTTCGTTAACATTTATATTTTAGGATTATTTTTTTTTTAATTTCCATCTCTTATCATGAGAATAAAATACATATTTCCATCCCATTTTTGTTGAGCTTACATTTTTTATTCTTCTTTTTTGGGATTACATATTCACTTTATGTTTCTGTTCTGTAAAAGTTTCTAACAGTAAAATCGAATATTGCAGGTAGTGGTGAGGAATGTGCCACATGTTTCCGGTCACTCAATATCAGATACTGTGGACCACTTCTTTAAAACAAATCACCCTGATCATTATCTTAGTCATCAGGTAATATTGTTCTTTATGATATTGCAATTGTATATATAAAGGTTTTCATTATTATCATTCATGAGATAACACATGAATAACATGTGCTATTTCTGTCAGTCATGAGGAATGTGCATTTGTTTTCTCCTTTTTGCAGTCATATAATCTACTAATGTTTTCTTTCTTCAGGCAGTATATAATGCAAACAAATTTTCCAAGTTGGTGAGGAAAAGAGATAGGCTGCAGAACTGGCTGGACTATAACCAACTGAAGTTTGAAAGGCATCCAGACAAAAAAAGGCCGACTACAAGGGTAGTTCTTCTTAGGAACTTGGATGCTACTGGCAAACTTTGACTAATACGCCACTTAGTATGTAATACATTGTTAAGCTTTTGATGTTTTGAATTCATGGTTTGAACAACATTGATTTCAGACTGGTTTCTGCGGGCTGTGGGGCAAAAAGGTAGATTCAATTGAGTACTACAAGCATCAAGTAAAGGAGCTCAATAAGAGAGTAAGCTATAACTACTGCTTCATCTATGGTCTTACTTGAGATATTATTCATGGTAATTTGTCGAGTGTCATTTTCTAGTTTGTCCAAAGCTTCCATTGAAATCATTTTTCTTGAATTTACTATTTTCAATAAAACTTTTAGCAATTTGTGTTAGAATTATTCTGGTGCTCTAACTTTGATTTTTTGCAATATATTTTGTCTTAGATGTCACTGGAACGCCAGAAGATTCTGAAGGATTCAAAATCTATTTTACCAGTTGCTTTTGTATCATTCAATTCTCGCTGGGGGGCTGCTATTTGTGCACAAACGCAACAAAGCAAAAATCCTACTCTTTGGTTAACAAATTGGGCACCAGAAACTCGTGATATTTATTGGAGGAATTTGGCTATACCATTTGTTTCACTAACAGTCCGGAAACTTATAATATCGTTGTCTGTATTTGCTTTGGTTTTCTTCTACATGATACCCATTGCTTTCGTGCAATCACTTGCGAACTTGGAGGGTCTTGAAAAGGTTGCTCCTTTTCTTAGACCACTAATAGAATTGTAAGTGAACTTATCATATTCTTAATTTTTGATAACCCTGATTTTGCAGCATGCCATAAAATATTAATTTATTTTGAAATTCTTAATAACTTCTTGTGATGAAGGTTGTCTCTAACATTAGAGTTTATTAGTTGGTGCTTCTCTCAATTCGTTCTTTTTTGTAATATTTTCTATACCCTTACAACATATGCTATAATAGGTACTCCTACCTTTTTTTCCTCCTGTATGATTGAAAGTTCATATCTTTTCTTTTATATATTTGAATTGTCTCAAGCTTAAGGGAAAAGCATAGACCATAATTACTTTTTAATGAGCTCCATAATGCATTTATTTTTTAGTTTCAATTATAAAATACTATTGATTGTTTATTATATAATGAGTTATTTGTGTGTGCCTCCTGTTTGTCATTTCTTTGTAGTAGATAATTGCAGTTTCTGAAGTATTTTCAGTGTCTGCATTCTCTGGCCATGATGTGTCTATGAAAGATTTAGATTGTAACCTCTTAAGGGCGTTACATGAAGTGTGTTGGTAACAAGTTAGAAAATCATAATTTTAATTTTTAAGGATATGAGATAATACTTAGGAATGAGGAAGTCAATCCTATGTTACTTTTGAAGAAATATATAATAGTGATGTTGATTTTCTATATGTCAAACGCAGTATTGCAAATCTCCCTCCAATGGTAATAAATATCCTTTTATTTTCTTTTAGTAATTATTACTAAGTATATTTTGGCGTGTTGTACAGGAAATTCATCAAGTCATTCTTACAGGGTTTCCTTCCTGGTCTTGCTCTTAAAATCTTTCTGCACATTTTACCAACGATTTTGATGATCATGTCAAAGATTGAGGGACATATAGCTTTATCAACTCTAGAAAGGAGGACATCAGCAAAATACTACTATTTCATTTTGGTAAATGTTTTCCTAGGAAGCATTATCACTGGAACAGCCTTCGAGCAATTGCATTCTTTCCTTCACCAATCACCAACCCAGTAATGTTCTGCTATCCTTTTATCTGATTAAAAATGTCTGAAAATCTGTAGGCATATGACAACTCTGCTATCTGATACAATTTTGAGTTTGTTTAGGTTTTGGGGTTCGAGTAGGTGGTACATGTGCTTATCCCTATCATGTTGCCTTTTGAAGTAGTTTGGTTTCTCTTGAGATGGTTTGCATTGTGGAAGATGATGATAATTTTCTTTTATTGACCAGTCATTTAAATTTTAACAGAGCAGCTATTGTTGATTAAGCAACATAATAAATAGTGGTTTATCTAAAACATTGTTAGAGAGCTTCCTAGCCCATATTTGTTTTGGTAAAGGTAAAGCAGCTACAAGCTACAACACCTAGAACACTTGATTGGTTGGATAGAGGCATGCATGATTCTTGTTATCAGATATACCCTTAGCTACTGAGAGAATTAATGATTTCTCTGTGATCATCAGGAATTTCACTGCATATATCTGTAGTTTGTGTCAACTTCCATTTGATATGTTAATCTTTTATCCTCATCAAATTGCAGGATTCCTAGGACAATAGGAGTATCTATACCAATGAAGGCCACTTTCTTCATTACATATATCATGGTTGATGGGTGGGCTGGAATAGCTAGTGAGATTCTACGATTGAAGCCATTAGTTATTTTTCATCTCAAGAACATGTTTCTTGTGAAAACAGAAAGAGACAGAGAGAAGGCTATGGACCCCCATAGCGTGGATTACCCAGAGACTCTCCCAACTCTCCAACTTTACTTTCTTTTGGGGATTGTGTATGCTGTGGTTACTCCAATCCTTCTTCCCTTCATAGTAGTCTTCTTTGCCTTTGCATACTTGGTTTATCGTCATCAGGTTGGTTTACTTATATGCATACTTTTTCACATTGTTTTCATGTTATATAGGCTTATATCCACAGTGTATTACCAATACATATATCCATCTTCTAGGCTTAAGATCAAATTGGTTATCATTTAGCAAGTCTCTCAGTAAGGTGACAATCAGTTGAGTCTAAAAAGAATGAATATACTCTTATCTATGTTACAATTTATGTTTATCACTGATATTATATTTTTCATTTACAACGTAATGTTTTGTTAACTTAGAAATCTACATGCTCATGTAGACTAGAACTCTAGCAGCACATATGTTTGGCGAATAAAATTACCTTCAATACTTTTTTGTACTGGTTAGTGACAATTTATTTTTTCTCCTTCATTGCAACTAGAGCTACTGTTTTAAAGAAAAACTCCTGTACTCCCTCCTTTTTTTCAGTCACAAGTTTCTTTCTCTTCTTCTGCCAGACCATCACTGTCTGGCTCTTCATCACAAGCTTTTTCTTCTGTCTCCCAGCAACAAAGTTCCTAACTTTTTCTCTCCTGCACCACCATCAACCTGCATCTTGGTTCTTACACTCCATTTTAGCTGCTTCTCTGATTCTTAAAGTCTCTCAAGCAGTTATTCTCTCCCCTGCACAGTAGGTGCTGTAGGACAAGGTACAGTAGAACCATACTTACCCAAAAAAGTAGAGAGAAAGAAGAAAATATGAGGGAAGACAATAGAAGGAGACAGAAACAACAAGAGAGACAAAAATAATAGAGAATGTGAAACAACTTCACTGGACAATTACCAATTCCAAGCTTGCATAACTTTTTTATAGAACCCTTTATATAGGTTCTAATAACAAATGGGAAAACAAATTTAAAGTTTCTAAAATTTCTTAAATAACTAAATACTCAAACCTCCTAAAAAAATTTTATTTCCTAATTGGAAAAACAAAAACAAATATCTTAAAAGTATTAAAATCAGCCGTATTTAGGCTTAGAAGGTTCTGCATCAGTAGGTACTCTTTGTTTTAGAGTCCCAAATTTTGAGATTCTCTCTCCTGCACCGCGACAAACCTTTAATTATAGCAGCAATTTTTCTGTTTGAAGCTTTCTCTCTCTGCCACTCAACTAGAAGACTCCATTGTTTTTTTCTATTTATTTATATATATACTTTGGTCCCCTCTTAATCACAGCAGCAACCTTTTTGGGTTGAAACATTTTTCTTGACCAACACAAGTATGCGATAGATTTTTGTTAGCATTAAAGATAGATGACTTCATACTTTGGTTATATGATTTTGGGTCACGATATTAAATGATTTAGATGATTTTAGAACTGTCATTGACAATTTGATTGACATATAATTATTTTATATACGGGTGGTACTCCTTTGATACCTATATTGATATTAATATTTTTTATACTTTTATTTAAAAAAAAATATGCTATAGATTTACTGTGGCGACATGGTATGGAGGATCATGTCAGGATCCTTAGATCCTTTTATACCATTTTGCCTTCCATTCCCTTTTCTACCATCCCTTACTCATATAAGACAAAACACAACCAAAAGCTATAACAGAAAAGTGAAGCGAATCTGCAGAAAATTAGAGAAAAAAAAAAACAAATCTGCCAGAGTTACTACAGCCCTATGACCATATTTGTAACTAATCTAGGATTAACTAATTAACCATTAATTAAACTAATTGTGTCCGGCTACTGCTGCATTGCTGGTCCTAGCAGATTTTATGCCTCTAAATATACTCTTATCTGTCTTATTATTTATGTCTACAACTAATATTTTATTTTTTTATTATTAGAATCCTACAACTTGATATTTTTTAGATTAAAAATGTAGATGCTCTTGTAACTAGGATTCTGCCTGCTCATATCTTGTAAAATTATAAATAACACATACATTTGATGAAAAAAATTACTACTGATTTTGGAAAAAAAATATAAACTTTATTTCTCACTCTTTATGTTGTTACACTTAAAGTATTTATAAAATTTTCAATCTATAGATAAGTAAATTCTTATTTTATTATAATTCTTGTTACATAAGATTAATATTTTAGTAAAGTTTTAAATATATCATTTTAATTAAATAATAAGTTAAAATAATTAAGTAATAAAATATGGTAGTCAATACTCCTCTCAAGTTGGTATAAGGATATCGCACATGCCCAACTTGCAAACCAGGTTATGAAGAGCCATCTTCCAGTTTACTAATGCCAAACGATGCCAAAAAAATGCTGCCAACTGAAACCAAATTTGTTCAGCAGCAGCTCGCCTCGGCTCGATTCAAAAACGGCTCGGCTCGACTTGCCTCAAAACAATTTGGTCTTGCTCAAAATGGCTCAGGCCTGCTCTAAAACAGCTTGGGTTCAGCTCTATAATGGCTCAGGCTCCATAGAAGTACCACGCGAGCTCTCATGTGCCGCCACACGCCACTACCAGAAACTGCCACGTGCCGCTGGCGGAAACACTACTATGTGCAACCACCAGAGTCTCACGTGCCTCCATGCACTGCTACACATGCGGCCACAGGAGCTGTCAAGTGCCGTCACCGGCCACCACGCACAGCCGCGATATGCCCCGAAAATATCACAAAGAGTCTCACGTGCTTCCATGCACTACCACACATGCGGCCACAGGAGCTGTCAAGTGCCGTCACCGGCCACCATGCACAGCCGCGATATGGCTCGAAAATATCACAAAGAGTCTCACGTGCTTCCATGCACTACCACACATGCGGCCACAGGAGCTGTCAAGTGCCGTCACCGGCCACCATGCACAGCCGCGATATGGCTCGAAAATATCACAAAGACTGCTGCACACTCAGGTCCGGCACAAATATGGTGAAAATGCGCTGAAAAACGTCGAAAATTGCCAAAAATCTAGCCTTGCGCGATCTGGTTTCCGCCGCGTTGGTTCGTCTTCTTCGGCTTTTCGTGCATTGTTTCTCCAGTTTTTCGGTCTTCAACTTACATAGACCTTGCGAACAACAGTTCCGTGGCCTGCGATCGGGCTGGTCGATCAGATTTTCTTATCCCATCACGATCTGCGTTCCTTTATGCAAATCAAGAAGAGCTGATCGCCGACTGACACACACATGCCATTCATTGACCCAGATATGCCAAGATAGGCCATTTGCATGCTTTACCTCGCCGGCTGGTCGCTACTCGTGCGCTTATTTGGTCTGATCCACCACCTAATCCCTTTGTTTCTCCTTTAGGTGGCGGTCGGAAATGCAAGAAAAGATTTGTGATAGGTTTTTCTTTGGCTTTCTATCTCAGATCTAGCTTTTTAGGGTAGTGTTAAGAGTAGATTTGGATAAGTGGGTACCAATCTAGTCTATTGTGTTCTTTTAAGATTTAAAGGAAATTTTAAAATTAAAATCCTAAAATAGTTTTATTTGGCTATGATATCATGTTAATTTTAGAGGAAAAGATATAAAATTTATTTCTTACCCTTTATATTGTTACACTTAGAATATTTATAGAATTCTCAATTTATAGATAAGAAAATTTTTATTATACTATAATTTTAATTTCATGAGTGTTGAAAAAACGATCCTTAAAACATGCACAATTATAAACAAAATAAAAGCAGAAAAATAACAGCACAAGATTTTACGTAGTTCGACAGTATGTCTACATTTACGGGTAAGACCAATAAGAAAAATATTTCATTATGATAAAAAAAGAGTACACCATAAATTAGCAAACCTATATATAGAGAGGTTTTTAGGGTTTTTTATGTCCCTAGAATACACGTAAAATTAATCACTAAAATAATTACAAAAATACTTTCATGACTAAAATCATCAAAATTTAAACTACATCAACGAATTTTTCCCTTGGTGTGAATTCTCTTCAACATCAAAGGAAATGACCTTTTTATCGTTCTGTCTTACCATGATACTCCCTTGGGGGCGCTATTTAGTATCACATATTCCAACCAAGTGTAGGCTGCGCCTAAACTTGCTTTCTGATCCCTGAACAAAGTGACATCTGCCATCAAGTTCTTCACACACAATATCAATCACCTGATCTGCATCTAAACTCCTAGGTCCCTGCAACTGACAAGTCATATGCAATCAGATTCTCATACCTCTGTAGTCATATAATTTGTTTTCTCTTCCTGCCTGTTGCAATACTATATGGTTATTGTTGATCAGGTGTACCATCACCTTCTTGAATAAGATCTTGCACTTCGTTTTCTGGATCATTGGACTGAACTTTTAACTCTAGTTGTACTCTGACATCGTGATCTAATTTTATTATTGTCTTCTCTATCTGACTGTCAAGTGAAGTAGACTCATTAAATGTCACATTTCTGCTGATAATTAACCCTGAAGACTTAGGATCACTACACCATAACCTATAGTTTTTCACTCGATATGCATATCCCAAAAATATGCATTTCTTTACCCTTGGCTTAAGTTTACAATCCCTAACATGAATATAAGTAGGATAACCAAATACTTTGAACTGAGTAATCAGCAGGTGACCTAGATCATACCTCAAAAGGAGTTTTACTTTCAATAGCTATAGATGGAGATTTATTAATCAAGAAACTAGCAGTGTTAACAGTCTTAGCTCAAAATTCCTGTTCCAAGTCTGAATGAGATAGCATGCTTCGTGCTTTATCACAAAACATTCTATCCATGCGTTCCGCAGTACTATTCTGTTGTGGTGACCCAACACAATTGCGGAGTCTCACTAATATTTTCATATTGTAGAAATCATCAAGCACATAATTACAAAATTCCAACCCATTATCTGTCTTAAGGCACTTGATCTTCCTCTCTGTCCGCTTCTCAATCATAGTCTTGCATATGACAAATGTTGAAAATGCCTATTTCTTGGATTTCAGAAAATACACTCATACCTTTTTAGAGTAATCATCAATCAATATCATGAAATAGCTGACATCACTTTTCAAGGGAACTCTGTGTAGACTCCATAAGTCAGAATGAACATAATCCGATTTATCTTTGGTCTTGTGCACTGCTCTTTTGTT